CTGGACATGGAGCTGCCAGGCAGGAGGCGAAGAGGAAGGCCAAAGAGGAGGTGTATGGAGGTAATAAATGAGGATATGAAGGTAGTGGGTGCAAGTGTTGTGGATGCAGAAGATAGGGATAGGCGGAGAGTGATGATTCGCTGTGGCGACCCCTGAAGGGAAAAGCAGAAAGAAGAAGAAGAAACCATGATGGCCATGGTGGGTTCAAATTTACTACGTTTGTCATTCACTCATATTGATTTGCACAGACAATCAATATTCTACAAGTCTATGATCTATGACCTATCCATGAACACAATCACCAGATTTCTATTGAGACGCCTCTATACCTCTATACTCTCTGTCTCTCTCTCTCTCTCTCTCTCTCTCTCTCTCTCACACACACACACACACACATATTCAGGCTCTGCGAAGTCTCACTCCAGCATTTGCCTGTGCTATTTCTGAACCATTTCCGTTCCCTCTTTGGTCTATTTGATTTGACCCTGGGTTGTTTTTCAATTACCCGCACTACCTGTCCTAGTTTGTGCCTGTTTGCCAATTGCCTGACTTTCTGTTTGTCCCTCACTGTGATAATTGTCTAGTCCCTGTGCTTTCTCTACTGCAGATGGTTTTAATACAAGCTGAACCTGTATCTATGTCCGCCTTTCTGCTAATCATGTTAGTAAACATATTGTTTGACCATAGACAATATGAAACCCCAAATAATGTTGTTTCTGTACATATTTCTTGCTGTCTTTTCTCACACTTGCTGTCCTTTCTCTACCCCTAAAGGAAGTAGGGGCCTTTGGTTAACAGGTTCAGGTCTTTAATCAATGAGCTACTGCAGAGTAGTAACTGTCACACCTTTCTGTTACAGCCATGTTGAAAACTGAATATAAGAATGCTTTCAGGGATTACATACTGAAAATATATTGGAAGATAGTGTGTAGAGATTGTAGCTTTTTCCCCTTTATACACATTCTCCCTAACTCTTATGCTGTGTGTTAATTACTATCATTCACAGTTGTTACCTTCACCTACTGTAGCCATGCAGAAAGAAAGCATGTGTGGAGGAGAAGGCTGAGCATCTAATGAATGTTGGTCTTTCATCTTCACATACTTTCACATATGTATTGACCTTACTAAATTAAATTCACTCCTTAAACTCCCAAGACCCACACTCACTCTTGACACATTGTTAAGACCTGACTAAATTAAATTCACTCCTTAAACTCCCAAGACCCACACTCACTCTTGACATATTGTTACATACTGTTTTTATTGGTTTCAAATAGTCACTAGTAGCTACTGAATTATATAGTTTATAGCTCTGCAGGTTTTTCAGCACTTTGCATTTTCATCTGTCAATACTGTTATGGTATAAGGTATACACTGACAGACTAACCAACACATGCTGGAAAATAGTTTTCTTCCTATATTCACACACAGGATCATCTAATGGTGGCCATCTGAGAGATTTCTCTGGCCCCAAACCCATCCTCCAACACATTTTCCCAGTTACATTAAAATTATGTAGAATGTTAAAAAAAAAAGGTAAAGTATTGAATACTGCCCACCATCAAGACTTGCTAAAATGTAGAACTAACGTTACATATACTATATAGGCAATACACTCTTGCAGTGGAGACATGTGTGCCTTCATTAGAGTAGGACACTGGAGTGAAAACATACTCATGAACATGCAAAAGTACCTTCATTAGCTATTAGACAGAAAAAAGATAAGTACCCTTAGGCTAAGAGTGAGAAATATACAGAGGAACAAATGTAAGTGAGGAGGATGTAGCAGACTAACCACAAAAGCTTTAATATGGACTACTTTTTAATCTTAATCAAGTAAATATGTAAATACAGGTCAGTAAACTTACAGTATGTATACTGTCTTGCATTTGGCTCTTTTCCATATATTTTTTCTGTGGCTGAATATCACTGCATTACACATTTCCATATTGGTAGACCATCACTACTACTATATAACCATATGCTCAACATTATGCATGTTCTACATGTCACCCCCGATCATGATTTGCTCAATTATTAATCTGCTGAATCCTGGAATGTATGCGAGCTGAATATAGAGGCAGAGTTTTTCTCATTTATGATAATGAATAGATATTTGATTGTAAGTGTGCCATATCACACAGGGAGAATGAAATGTGTGATAATGAGCAGCACAGTGCAGCACTTAGCCAGCAATGTTTACACGTTCTCAAAACTGCTGTGGCTGCCTGGTGGCTTTAATGAGATGTATACTAATCCCAGGATACTTTTGGAGAATGTAAATTTGCATAAAGTGAGCTGCTATACCAGGACAAAACTGAAACTCAACCATATACATTGACAGAACACTGTAATAGAACAAGATCCGGGGTTGAAAATTCCACTGGGAGGACGTGTGTGAGTTCACTAAAGCCTGACTTGCAGTACAACCTAGAATTTACAAGCAGCAAGTGCCAGCAAGGTTTAGTGCGAGGGCTGCTGGCTATTTTCAGATGGTATAGATGATCAACATCATGCTGAGAAGAGAATGAGCCATGCTGGATGTCAGAGCACGCTTGCACGAGGAGGATCTCTCTCTCTCTCTCTCTCACACACACACACACACACACACACACACACACACACACACACAAGATTCCACAGACTACAGATACATCCATTGATTGTTCCAAGTAGCTCAGTTTTATTGTGTCTTGGTAAACCCATCCCGAAGTGCTAGAAAGTACAGAGCTCCACCACAACAGAAAAATCTCAATCCATAGTAATAGGAGCAGACTTTTGAATGTTAAGTCCATATTAATGATCTGTATAATGTTTTCGCCATTCAGGATTTTGTAGCAGGACCTTTTACAGAGCACTGTAAATTAATATTTGAGCCCATCGTAATGTAAGTAAGGAATAATTGGACAAAATATGGGTCTGTTTAAGGGACTTAAGGGTACTGGGCCAGACCTTAGGTTGTTATATCTTGGTCAGCTTCACAAAGGAAAAAGGACACCAGCTAAATGAGAGATAGATTCAGTTTTGTGAAGTCAGTTTGAAATTGCCAGAATAATGGGGTTTACACAAGCACATACACAGATGCCACAAAGGGCTTTAGTCCCTGCATTTTTCGCCCTCCTGTACCAGTGGGTGGCTGTCAACAAAATCAAGAAGTATGGTCCTCAATTACACTGGAGTTACACTGCCTTTTGGGAAAAGAAAAAAACTCTCTAATATGATTAGATTGAATTGAACTGAACTGAACGCTGAATGAATGTATTGTTTAAAACCATGATAACACTGCTTCTGCAAGACATATTGTTTTCCAGTTGTCTCATGTTATATACAAACCTGTTATTATGAATGTTCCTTGAGTCTTGGCACACCAAAATGGCTGGGTATACGTTAATAGATTCCATCTTGATACAGATGCAGCTAAAGAATGTTGAAGGAGCAGTCTGTAATTCCCTGAAGCCCAGTTATGGAGACGTTTCAACTGCATTTTGTCAGTAAGTAAGTAAGTAGTAGCTGCTAAGCGCTAAATCAGGTAAGCAACCACCTCTCACTGAGCGTACAACATCCCATTGTGACTGTCCAGTAGATAAAGACAAAACTCAGAGAATGCAGCTCAAAGAACAGTCTAGATATATTTTGGCTGTATCTCTTGGGGTGTATGATAAAGACAGTCTAGAGGATCCTTACATCAACAATTACAAAATAACTTTCTGATGTAAAGTTAATAGTCCGCTGGATTGATTTGGAAGGTCTTATAACAATTCAAACAATTTCTTTTATTTGTTAAACCAAATGTTGTGCTTGTCCTTCAATAGTGGATCACAGAAGATGTGGCTTGCTGAGCTCCTAAGTCCACAACTAACTCCAAATCCAATTCAAATGAAGTCAAATTCATTTTTACGTGAAGAATGATGTAATAGTTAATGCAAAAGTGCTATATTTAAAAGCTATTGTTAAAAGCAATTGTTGCTCTTAATTTCAGCAACAGGGCATTACGCAGGGTATCAGAATGCAGTTTCAGCTCAGAGAGTTGTCAAGAAGTGTGTACTTTTTCTAAATTTAATTAGATATTTTTCTTACTCTTGCTCCAGCCCTGCCATCCCTAGTCATGCAAAAATGCAACATGGTGTCACTTGTAATGATATGCAAAAGTTTCCAATTCAATATTCTGGTCTACTGTTACAAATGCAAAGCCAACAGTTCAAAATGCACAATCATAATAAAAAATAAACAAGGGATCAAAGATACCGATATCAGGCTAATATAGAGAGCCAAAGGTACAAATGAGAAACAGACAAAAAGGTCAATAATGAATATAGATTGAATGACAAGGCAGGCTCATTCACATCAGATGCAAATACAAGGCACATATTTAATATAACATATATGCTTTCACTTTAAGTGCTGACACTGTACTCTACTGAGGATGAAAACCACTCACAGTACTAATACTGTTTCTGCTCAAGATAAAAATCACTCAAAAATTCTTCATTGAGGAAAAGAAATTCTTCCGGTTCTGCAATTGCCCTTTATATTCCATCTAGCAACATTCAATCTATAAAATCTAGTGAAGTTGGATGGTGAGCTTCATTTTGCTACTTCAGAAGTGTCCACAAGAGCCCTCTTCATACTGCCCTGGAGGTAGCCATTGCAAATGGTATTCAATGGGCCTGTGTTCAAGTATGCCTTCCCTATTACTTCTTTTATCCAATGAGCTAACAAAACAAACAACAGCTGGTCAGGGACCCACCAAATTTACATTTACAGCATTTGGCAGATGCCCTTATCCAGAGCAACTTACAATTATCTCATTTATACTCAACTGAGCAGTTGAGGGCCTTGCTCAAGGGCCCAGCAGTGGCAGCTTGGTAGTGCTGGGATTTGAACTCCCAACCTTCTGATCAGGAGTCCACTGTCTTAACCACTGAGCTACCTACCACATGATGCCTCTTCCACCGTGACAGCCACGACCGGACACATTCTCCTTTGCAAAAGCAGATAGGATGTTTAATATGTGTGAAGAGATATCTAAGGTCTGACCCTTTGCAAACATGCTAGTATGCAAGAGTCATTCCTAGGGGCCAGACTTATAATTTCAAGTCTGTCATCAGCTGTGCCACAGTGACCTGTTTATCTTGGACCACAGGTCCAGTCTTATGGTTAGCGGGCATAGAGTGCCTGTCAGTAACTTTAACCTTAATAAGAGGTTACAAAGTCTGTCAGATGTGCTAATGTATCATCCACAGCAGCAATAGCTATGGAAAATCATATAACTGAAAATTTGGCCAGTGGTTCAGCAACACAAAATGTTTACTTTTGCCCTACCCAGGAACCACACTGGACAGTGACTATGTTCCACATTAGCTGAACTACCTTATGTAATTTTGGCATTCCAGGGGCACCACAGTATTTCCATAGCTCAAGAGATTTAAAAATTACTCCTGGCATTATGCTGCAGTTAGGCCAAGGCTCTGTAACTGCTTTTTGAAGTTTCCAGTCTCAACTTTCTGGGCATTGATCGCTGTCCATCATTCAACTCCATTGAGGCCTGGGAGACTGCACAGCTTGCATGCCCAGAAAAAACAAGAAGTTGGGAAAGTTCCTAACAGCCAGGTATGAATTTTTAAAATGACAAAATCTCCAGAGCCCTTGCTCCTACACACTGATAATGGGCAATGGTAGCTCAGTGGTTAAGACACTGTGCTACTGATCTGAAGGTCATGAGTTAAAATCCCGGCACCACCAACTGTATCCAGTCTAAGTTCTAAGCAGCTTTGTATAAAAGTGTCAGCCAAATCAGTTAAATGTAAATGATACAAATAAAAGGTCTTGTGTCTGTTGTATGGACACTGTTAACAATGCCAAGATTAGCTGGTGTTCATAATGCACACTCCTTTGGTGGTGCAGATTTAACAATAACAAAATTAACAAGGAAAAAAAAGGAATTCCTCACTAATGAGATAGAGCAAACTTGAGGCATAACATGATGCTTTATAGGCTACCCACATGAGGTCATGTTTATAAGGTGACAACACTGCTTTTGGTGACTCTATAACACCTGTTGCCTTTATCACCCATACAATGGATTCGTTTTATCACCACTGATTTATCTGTTGTATTTAGAAGTAAGAGTAGACTAAAGGTACATGATAAAAGTTTGGTTATTGATATCTCACTGCAAAAAAAAAAAAAAAATACGTCTTAGCAAGTACAAATATCTTGAATATAGCCTAATTCAACTAAACATTCTCTTGATCAGATATCTATTAGATGTAAGATTAGATCACTTTTCCTTTATGCAAAACTTGCTATCATAAAGAAGAAATTTTATGATTGTACACTAGTCATGATTTGTCATTTAAGCAATATTGCATGAGCAAGAGTGTGGTTATACTGAATATCGGAAAAACTGAAGCCTCAGGCTGAGTGCCGTAGGTAGTCACAGCCGTGTTGGTAGTCAGTATAACTGCACAATTGTGAGTGTGATAATGCTTTTATACAACAGTTCTATAAACATTACATTAATATCAAGTAACTAACATTTTGGACACAAATGGCCAAATGATTTATTTATTTTTGTTCCCAATCCCGAAGAAGCTACACTCTCTTTATAGCCTGTCGGCTAGCTGGCTAGCTAGCTCAAATAGATTTGTACATTCCCATTAAAGGTGCTTCCAGTGAAACTGGCCCTTTTTCCTTTTCATCTTCATCTGATGAGCTCTCATATTTTAAGTCAACGGTTATAATCATGAAAAATGTATTGTTCGCCATGTCTGCTGATGATATTGCTAACACTACTGTAGTAGCCATTTCAAATTAGGGAGTGGAATTTTACGTGGTGAACACAGACGAGCAGAGTGATACACACAGTGAAACGACCCAGTGTGGTTATAGTAAATATACACACTCTCGGAACACAGTCTTGCATGATATTATTTCTGTTTTTATTTCTTTGTTTATTTCTTTTGAGATTGTGTCAGTATGAAAAAAGCCTCCCTAAAGAAGGCCTAAGGATATATAGCCTGTCTTTGAAAAAGATTCTGGCAGCACAAGCTTAGACTGACACATTTTAAAATGTGCCTGTGTGTTCAGGCACTGCAGTAACTGAGAACCTGTAATAGTTCAATAACATAAGTCCTCAAAATGCCTCCTTTTTCTCCTTCTCTTGTCCACCGGCTGTGGGTGGAGGATGAGAACCCAATGGGGAGAAGAGACAGACAGACATACAGCAGCACACTGGTTTGCTGTCTCAGACACATCCATGAGCTTTAGATCTGTCACAGAGAGGATGTGGGGGCTGGCACACTGTCACGCAATTCAAATAGAATATAACTGACCTACTGGAGTCAGGCAATAGACATGACATATTATATGCCACATTTAATAAAATGAAATTTAACAAAAGGGTTTGCACAATTACACTGGTATTAAATTATGGCATTAAAGTTTATTTCATTAGAGATTACTGTATTGAACCACCTAATCTGATTTATCAATGCTACTGCTAATTCCTGACTTTGATTAATAGCCATGAAAAGCATGTCTTATTTTTGGTGCAACTCTCTTTAAAAGGAGAGAGTAATTTTCAACTGACTAGTTCACGAACATGTCATTTGGAAGACATTAAAACGGTTTAATTTTCTAGCCTCTTGGTAGGCTGGGATGTCAGTTAGCGTATCCTGCTGGGTTGTGTATGGTGCTGAGCTCGATCCCACAACAATTTACTAATAAATACAAAATAAAAGAAACTTAAAATGTAATTTAGTAAATAATCTAAACTGTGAACTATCATCTAGACTATCAACTTGTCCCTTTTGCTTTCACTTTACTTGGACACCCCAGTTTATAGTTCTTTGTGTTTAGTAAATCATCTGTAGACTATTATCTTATTCATTCCTATGCCAGTTTCAATTTCAGTACACAGTTGTGCTCAAAAGTTTGCATACCCTTGGAGAATTTATAATATATGTACCATTTTTAAAGAAAACATGAATGAGCAAGCAAAACACACTTCTTTTATTTCTTATGGGAATTTTGAATATGAATTTCTTATTCATATTCACCTGTAGGTTATAACAGAATGGCACAATCATAAAACAAAACATGGCAACAAAGAAAAAAATGAAATGACCCCTGTTCAAAAGTCTGCATACCCTTATTTCTTAATACTGTGTATTGCTCCCTTTAGTATCAATAACAACGTGCAGTCTTTTGTAATAGTTATCTATGAGGCCCCAAATTCTTGCAGGTGGTATAGCTGCCCATTTGTCTTGACAAAATGCCTCCAGGTCATGCAAAGTCTTTGGTCGTCTTGCACGAACAGCATGTTTGAGATCTTGCCAGAGTGGCTCAATGATATTAAGGTCAGGAGACTGTGATGGCCACTCCAGAACCTTCACATTTTTCTGCTGGAGGGACAGCTTGGCCTTGTGGTTAGGGTCATTGTCGTGCTGTAAAGTCCAAGAGCATCCCATGCGCAGCTTTCGTGCAGAAGAATGCAAATTGTCTGCCATTTTCTGGTAACGTGCTGCATTCATCTTACCATCAATTTTCACAAGATTCCCCGTGCCTTTAGAGCTCACACACCCCCAAAACATCAGTGAGCCACCACCATGCTTCACAGTGGGGATGGTATTCTTTTCACTATAGGCCATGTTGACCCCTCTCCAAACATAGCACTTATGGCTGTATGTGTATGTGAGCATAAAGCTCTATTTTGGTCTCGTCACTCCAAATTACAGCGCGCCAGGAGCTGTGAGGCGTGTCAAGGTGTTGTCGGGCATATTGTAACCGGGCTTTTTTTGTGGCATTGGCGCAGTAAAGGCTTCTTTCTGGCAACTCAACCATGCAGCTCATTTTTGTTCAGGTATCGTCGTATTGTGCTCCTTGAAACAGCCACACCGTCTTTTTCCAGAGCAGCCTGTATTTCTCCTATTTCTATTTAGGTTACCTGTGGGTTTTTCTTTGTATCCCGAACAATTATTCTGGCAGTTGTGGCTGAAATCTTTCTTGGGCTACCTGACCTCGGCTTGGTATCAAGAGATCCCCAAAATTTCCAATTCTTAATAAGTGATTGAATAGTACTGACTGGTATTTTCAAGGCTTTGAATATCCTTTTTCCATCTTTATAAAGTTCCACTACCTTGTTACACAGGTATTTTGACAGTTCTTTTCTGCTCCCCATGGCTCAGTATCTAGCCTGCTCAGTGCATCCATGTGAGAGCTAACAAACTCATTGAGTATTTATACACAGGCACTAATTGTTTGGTGTGGGAAATTAACCTTTAATCGCCCTTTAAACTTGTGTGTGTCACCTTGTGCGTCTGTAACAAGGCCAAACATTCAAGGGTATGTAAACTTTTGATCAGGACCATTTGGGTGATTTCTGTTATCATTACGATTTAAAACGGAGCCAAACATGATCAGTGATATTTTCAAAATCAGTGCCAAAATTTCACAATTTCTGCCAGTGTATGCAAAGTTTTGAGCGCGACTGTACGTGGACTATATTGCTACATTTCATGTTGCTGAAGAGTGCCTACATTTAACTATTAAAATATAGTGTTAATCAAATAAAAGAGTGTAAACTTTAGTATTCTTTCTGTTTATAATTTAAATGCAGAATGTACAGGTATATGCATATATGCGTAATGTCAAGTATAACCATAATTAAAGATGACTTTAAAATACAGCGTAAGTGTACACATGCAAGCATGCTGCAATTATTTAATATAAAGTCATACTGCAGTAATATTAAGCCATAATTAGAAAAATGATTTCTCATTATTGTGAGATGCTGAGACATGTTTTTCAAAAAAGGATTAATAATATATTTCATTTTGTCTTCAAATGGCACAAAAAGCCTTTAAATATAATATAATACATGCTCTTCAGTTGTATTCATTTGTGTGCATAATCACCATTACCTAAGTAACTTTC